CAGTATGATCTCGACTTCTCCACTGCTGGAATTCACTATCCTTTCCACCTCTTCGAACGTTTTCCCGTTTAACAACACGCCGTTCCATTCGAGAACTTGATCACCTGAAGTGGGTGGATAAAGCTGTCGTTACTGGGGTGCAATTTAGAAGTAGTGCAATTTAGAAGTAACACGAGTACCTTCTTTTACTTCTCCAAGAATCTGATTGTATTTGGCCTGATTGACGGCAGATACGAACGCTCCCAGTTCTCCGCCTGGCATTCGTTTCCCGCCGACCACCCGTATGCCCAGATCTGGAACAATACCGTACAATACCGAAACAGCACCTGTTCTAAGAATTACTGTAACTTATTATAGGTAAGTTACCATTATAGATATTGTGGTCCTTATAGCGCCTCGTCAAAAGGATACGTTTGATCGTGGACGACGACGTGCAGTCGAGTGCATCAGGCCGATTACGAAGTGCATCCTCAAAAGGAGAGGCGTTTAGAAAGAAGTTTTTTCAAGGATGGCCAGGAAGCCGGAACTTCCTGCCGCGGCGGCAGGTATAGCGAAAGCCACGAACCTCGGCTGGCTTTTTAACCGGTCCTGGATAGTCGGACGTTCTTCCCACACTGTACAAATGCTTTCGTCTGTTTGATTCTGAATAAGTGAACGTTCACAATGTGCACGATTCTCATGACTAGTCAATGTGAGGGATATGACGATGCTTGTGAACAGTGCACGTGCAAGATGAACTGAACCGAAAGACCAAGGCTGACCAAAGGACCAAGAAGAACACTAAGGGATGACCAAGAGTCCGAGAAGAACACCAAGGAATGAGGTGAACGCCGAACGAGACAATTGCCAGACGCCAGAAGTGTAGCGAAACGGATTTCCGAGACGCGGACAAATCCGTGGCGACGCGACGAGCTCGAAGGACTGTGTCATCGTCATCATCGCACGAGTCCCACTTCAGCCGATCGATCCTCCCCCTCTTCCAGCTACCTCTTCTGATGTGTGTGGCGAGAGTGTGTGTGTATGTGTCGGTGCCTCTCGCGTGCAATTCTGAAACCTCTCGCCTCCGGCATCTCTTCTCTACCTCAAGCTCCCTTTGCTGGCCGCTCTCGCGACATCTTATTGACCGCCCAAAACAACGAGTGTCCTCACCCATTCTCTGCAGGGAGCACAGAGCACCCCACCCACACACACAAAAAACCCTAACTGAACCGCCAATACCTCGCCATTTTTAGCGGTGAAGTGCGAAATGTGCCAATCGATCCACTTCATTACCCCTCGTCCCCACTCTGAAACACCTGGATTTCCTGGGATTTCCTGGACTTCTCGGAAATCTGTACACGTAGAATTCGCTTTCCCCGATGATACTCTTGACAAACTCACATATGTGCATTGTACAATTTATTCATAATAGATCTCTATCAATAAGTTAAATGTGCACTGTTCAACATGCATCATCACATAAATGAATGGCAGCAATAAGAAAGGGTTTAACGGCACAATTCATCGGCCGTCAAGAAGAAACGAAGGACTGGGAGCGTGGTCGTCGAACGTCGTCATACCTGTAGGTCGACGTCTTCCAGCTGTTGCATACATCCGTGACAAGGCATCTTCACGTGGGAATCGGGCATCATACGTAGATGGATCGATGTTTCCTGACCATGTTCGAGCAGGTGTTTTTCCCATGTAGCCAGTTGGTACGGATGAAGAGAGTGCAGGTGGATAACTCGAACGAGAAGGCATCATTGGATACTGTGATGAATAGTAAGTGGACGGCATTTGAGATAATCGTTGTTGATCGTAGGAACCGCTTGATAACACTGGCGCGTACGGATCCTCCACAGGCATCTGAGCAGCTTGCAATAATCGTTGACGCTCCACATTACCGTAATCGAGAGGATAATTTGGAGGCCGAGCACCGTAGTCGGCCTCGTTTCTGCTGTACACTTGAGGAGCATCGTAAGGCAAGTAGCCAGGCATTGTAGCTGGTTCCGAGTAGGTGTAGGAAGGCAACGGAGTTGTAGACGGCATGGTCGCATACGTATACGGATCAGTCAACGGTGGCTCATATCGAAGTGGCGCTGATGGGGGCATGTAGAAGGCCTTGGACGGATCAGCGTGACTCAGAAGACCAGTCTGGAACTCGTTGTTCAGATAGGTGGCATATCGAGAGATCATATCGTCCTGTTGTTGAGCAAATGTTGACGGCATCTGCATGTTGGCGGTGTCACTGGCATATTGCCTTCCACCCAGGTACGGGTCACCTCTCAACGAACTCGTATAGGCCAGAGGGTCCGTCCGATCAAGGCCCAGTTGGTCCATGTAGTTCAACGAGCGAACACCAGTCGGCGGCATACGATAGCGTGGATCAATGATGTTGTCGGAGTGCAGGTCGAACATTGATCGTGACATCGAACCTGGCAGTGCTGGCCGAGCTCCAAACGACTGCTCGTAATCCACCTGGATCGGATTGAACTGCTGCCCAAGACATCGCTCGTAATTACGTGGCAATGAGCCGTAGTTGTAGGCGTAACTGGAGGTTGTTGGCTGTTGACGAATGGTGAAATCACGAGTAAGCGGAGACCGTTTGCTTCGTGACGGATAGTCGATTCGAGGCAGAGATCCATAGTGCGGTACCAGTGATGAATAATCAGAAGAGTCGAGAGCAAGCTGTGAGTGATAGGCACGGTAGGGCAACGTCTCGGACGGCAAGTCAATGTTGGCAAACATTCGTTCCCGACGTCGGGCTAACTCGTCCATGAGTTGTAATCGTCTCGTTTCTCGACTCAAAGGATCGTCATCGTGGAATTCGAACTGGCGGCGTTGTGCTCGTTTAGCCTTCTCGGTCAGTTCGTTCAGTTGCCGATCGTAATCCTCGAAATACTTCTTGGTAGCCTCCAGTAAGTCGTTCGTCTGTACGTTGGCGTTACTTCGGGCTCGCTGCGTTGTCGTTCGACTCGTCGATGGCTTCGTGAGATAGCTGCCGAGCGCGTAGTCTGCAGTGGAAAGCTGCTCGGTCTGCGTTTCAACGGTCCTCGCATTGCCAAATTCCTTGAGGCGGGGTTTCCTTTCGGCATCGAGTTGAGCTCGAAGTGATGTTGATGGCAGAAGTTGGTAGCGAGTAGCAGGAACTGGTACACTCGGCTGAGCAGAAGCCGAAGACGTTGGCTGAGATTTGAATTGAATATGTGATGGAATAGTAGATGCAGTGAATCGAGAGTCGATGTCGTTCTTCTGAGTGGCGACGGTGTGAGTCGGTTTAGGAATAACTCGTGCTCCACTGATGAGTTCCAACGGCAGAAGACAGTGAGTAACATTAGGAGTATCGTCCTCACGAGCCTCAGGCAATAGACCTGTGACTAGCATTTTGTGTACAATGTACTGCCTTTGATTGGCCTCGATCTCACAGGCTTCGAGGGCTTCGCGACGACGACTGAGCGCTTCTTTAAGCTCCTTTTTAAGGAGCACTCGAGCAAGAGTGTTGGGAATTTTCGGAACATAAGCCGGTTTGGTCCTGGCCACGGAGACGGGTTGACGAAGAGCAGTTTTCGATTTGGCAGTGGTTTGGTATGAAGCACCAGGAATAATGGCAGGATCAAAAGAAGATCGAGCAATAGAAGAAGTACCACTAGCAACAGAAGAAGGACGTGAATAATCGGGCAGATGGCCATTTGGCAGTTTATCGAGAGGAAGAGCGGTTTGAGTACAGGTAGAACTGACGCCGAATATAGAATAGCTGGATGAGGTAGATGGAATCGGAGCGCTGGCGTTGATGTAGACGGGGGCAGGAGAGGTTTGGGAACGAATAGAAGGTGTAGGCCGTTTTAGTGAATCAGTTTGGACGGCCAACGGTGCCATGGATTGAGGCGGCATGACCAGTGGTGGGCCGCTACTCGACGGTGGCGCCGAGATGTACGAGGCTCCGGGTGGAGGTGTTGGATAGGAAGGTGTAGTCGAATATGATGAGTAGGATGGAATGGATGGTAATTTACGACGACCCATCTCCTGACCGACCGAGCTGCCATCATCCTGAAATCAACGACAATCAAAACATCATCTTGACATCTTACATAAGTTATTAGATTCGCGCTTATGAATTATTTATGGGCAAAGCGGAGGCTATCGATGGAGTTGCAGCGGGGGGGGGGTGACGACTGCTAAGCTGTTGCCAGTACTACCACCAAAAGTCGTCCCCAAGGGAAAACAGCCCCCGCAGGCATACACCAAATCGAAATGAGATTGCCCTTCTTTCCAGATCGAACACATCCCCTATTATCCACCAGTGCCATTCTTCTGATTCGATTCTGTTCCTCAACCAGCGCTGTTCCCTCCCCTCCCCCTCCCCCACATAACATTCTCTCTGGCGTCTCGTTAAAAGGCACAACAAAATCCCCCACATAATTGGAGGACATTACCATTAGAGCGCCCGAATGGGTTTGGCCTTTACTGAATGATTTGTGTGGATTTTAGGATTTGGTTCGGCATCACTTGCGAATATTGCACGGGGAGATCGCGCCGCTAGACTCTCCTTTCGGCTATTGAGGAGGCACAGCTTTTCCCCTCTCTTTCGCTCGAGATCAATACCACCGCCTACTAACCAAGTTATGCGAACCCGGTTTTGCTCTAGAAAACCTCTTGGCATATGAACATCAGGCTGAATAACCCCTTCAGGTACCACTCACTACCAGTCAAGCTATCGACATAACAAAATATAGAAGGAAATGTATGTAAAAAATCAATATTTAATTATAAATAGGTGTGGGTGGTAAGGAACTGACCGTTGTCGGCGATGCGCATGCTGGGTAGAACAGGAATTAGTGTGGTGGTGGGGGCTCAGACGTTGAGACGACGTTGGGCTGTGGGTCTGGAGCAGCAGCGGTCGGGAGAGCAGGCAGACCGAGCCTAGAGGGGGCGGAGTCACGTCTGCACTCCCTCCGCCCTCAGTGCGAGCCATCACCCTCCGCATAATGATAATCCTCCATCGTCCGAGTAGCTTCTCCAGCTACATTCGGCCACTATGAGATAGTCACTAAGACGTAATCACCCCCCTGTCCGTACCAGCCATGCTTAATCTGGCTCTGGGACTCCATTCATAACTTCCATGGCATAAGCAGTATTCAGCCCGACTGCATCAGACTTCAAGCATATTGATAGGCAATATTACTGGCGAGTGCAAGCCCTTACGTGCGCATCGATTGGCCACGTCGCGTAATCCTCTCAGAAATGCTATCAGAAAGAAACAATAGGGAGTGGGGTGCCATTATTCCCTTGAAATGTTGACTATCGGCTTCTTCATATTCCCACAGGCATGGAAACTTGGGAACTTATTTGTCTCGAGGGGATAATAGCCATAAAGGCGAGCCATCGGTTTCTACCAATTTTGCGCCACTGTTTACTCCTTATGAGCCGACTTTTTAGAATTTGAGATAGATTTTTATCGAGATTAGTCCTAGGGGCAAATGTGGCTAGAAAAAGGTCTCCTAAGGGAATTCATCCTTTTGAACACCATTACCGTACCCATTTAGCGTGAGAATGCCACCAGTTCAGTCATGGGGAGACGCATGTAACGCGGGTGTATGGTTACTCGCGCCAACAGAACGGATGGCTCGTATCCACAAAGTTTAACCATCCAACAATATTTTGTAGGTCAAAGGCGTTCTGGCGCGGCGCCAAGTGATTTGCGATAAACGAACAGACCCCTTCGGACCCATAAGTCGAGCTAATCTAAAAATAAATTCCTAGGCAAATCAAGATTCCATGCCAAATTCGGAAAAATGATGTTGTAAAAGGGAACATTCTGAATCAGGATTCCATGCAAATTCGGAAATGATGTTGTAAAAGCGGAAACCCTGAGGCGTGGCGGTAAGTCCCCCTCCCAATAAAAAAAACACTCTCTGCCGAACCATCACCTATAGAGCTCATCCCCCTCTCGCTCAAGATTTGAATGGTTTCTGAGCAGGGTTCTGGAGAAGAACGGGATGTTGGTGGGGAGGGGGGGAGTTGCATACGACAACCTGGAGAGATATGTTTTATTTGACTATGAGGAGAAGATTTTTCCGTTTGCCTTTTCCCATCTCACATGCCATATGTTCCCTGGCGCTGCAGGGAAATTTTTTTCATTATTATTTTCCTGCAGACCATCGTAGGTGCCCCTAATATGGCCCCTTTTCGATGTGGCCGAATACGATCCCTGATGTGAATTCAGGTTACAGCATCGTGATGTGTGAAATGTCGGTGTCACTACGACCTCCCCCCTAGATTCCTTCCTCTGGTTCGACCCCATTCCTCATCTTACCTATCATCCTACTCGGTTTTTCCTACATCTTACTATTTTCCCCATCTGTTTCTAGGGGTTCCTCAAAGAAGTGCCGAAGTGAGAGGACACGAGGATGGGGCCAACCGTCACCAATTAACTTCTAACATAGTGGCGCATACGGTGGTTTTGGGCGCGGGCATCAACTCAGAGGGCTTCTCTTACAAGGCCAGTATAGACCCACATTCGATCAAATACGACTGCTCTCCACGGCCCAGGTACAACCGCTCTCCCCCCCCCCCAGTAGGGATTTTCACGAGTTGCTGTTACCCTGTGTGGATTGCAGAGAAATGTATGCGCAAACTCGGTGGAGATTTCAAATCAGGTCTAGGAACACTTTTCTTTTTTTTATGGGTTCTAGGATTTGAGGCGCTGGCGCTTCGCATTTTTGCGCTACTGAATTATGTTCGAGGGACCACAGTAACAGGAAGGGTACAGCATAGTGACTGTGAAACGGTGGTTGCAGATACGACCCTCCGAAGAAAGGTCTATCGGTGCGACCCCTTCCACACCTGAAAAGGCATCCCGTTACGATCCCCTTCTTCAACACCCACACTTCTTCAGTTTCCTAGTTCCCACCAGTTTTTGCGAAATTTCAATACTTTCGGTTTTCACAAGAATTTTCCGTCGAGGGGGCGTAGAGACCTATGCCGCTATGAAACGGGAAACGCGAAAAGTGAACAATCGCCGGAAAATCTTTTTCCAATACGGCAGATTTTCTCAAGGACAATACGATCCCCTTTCCCAACAACGACAAATACGTACCTCTCCCCAGCGGGTCGTACAACCCTCCCATCTCCTCCCGTTATGTCGTTAGAACATAAACCAATGCATGTTATCCTACGCACATCGAAACACTTTTCTAAACGCAACTGCCCGATCAGGAAAGCGTAAGGACAAGTCGCCCTACCTGATTCGTCTTCTTTTCTCTTAGCCTATGGATTTCCTGCACAGTCCTAACCTGTGAGAACAAGGGCGAGACTGACGCCGGGACAAATCCACGAAGGCTATCTCTAAAAACAATAGAGAAACGTGAATCGAAGTTGGAACGCGATTGCACGTAACCATAGATACGACAATTGGTGAAGGCCCTGCGCATTTAGCGCTCCACCGCGGCCATTGTGAATTGATTTAACCTTTGCATGCATTCTATCACGTAGCTTCACAGCTTTCAAAGAAAAGCAGATGGGAGCGCTGCAGTGAGTTGCGTTTTTGACCCTTTTTTGACTTCCCTATCGAATTCTATTCCGTCAAAGGACATCTGGAAATGGACAATGAGAAATGGGGCCTGGACACGGCTGACTCGAAGGTCTGCGTTGTGACGGCTACGGGTGAAAAATAGCATGGCATTTACTCATGGAACGAAATCGAAAAGAGCAGGAATTGAGAAAGCGGAAGAGGTATTGGTACTGAAGAAGCGCCCTAGAACCTTTTATAGGGCCCTCCACTCGTGTAGGCCCCGCCCCTACTTGTGATACAAGAGACTAATGAGCTTCTGACTGCATACATAGCAGTGCAATTGGCCGTTGTCCCCTACAAAAAGGAAATTCTCACAACACTGGTTGATTTTCTTTGGGATGAGCCACGCACTGGTTTTCCATCCAGAATCTCAGGTGTCTGAGGTCTCTCGGGATGCGATTTGGCCTGTTGCGTCTCTGAGGCTCCATATACAAGACGAATTATGTGCAAGAAATCAGCCTGGTACAACAACTGACGACTCATGGGGAAGGAAATAGTCAGTTGCCCAGGCCGCGAGTCCATCCAGGAACTGACCCTCACTACCGGGTGCACGGCAAGGGGAGCCACTCTTCGTTATAAGTCTCCTTAAAAGGCAGTTGGGCAACGGGACGGGGGGGGGTCTTGCACCTTTGCTAATTCCCATCGACGTGACTACCCATCTAGACAGCCTCTTCTCTAGTTCACAGATTTTACCATGATGGCTAACGAGCCTGCTCCAGCTTCACAATAATTCACAGGTTTCACCAGAGTGAGACTTGTAAACCGGAAGTAGTGAAGCAACGAAAAGTGCAAAATGCCCCTCCCCCGTCACCGAACTACGCCCCCTTTGCAGTGTTGCCCTTAGTAGCATCCTTTACTGAAAAGCGGCAATCAAATCAGTAGGGTCATTTTCACTGTCAGAAAGTTGAGAGTGGACGGGTTTCGCACCTTTATTAAAACATGTTCTACGACTGGACCTTGGTACTTTACTGCTAACATCTAGCAAGCACGTATCGCTTATGATTAAAAGATTCATTCGGATTCATTTAAGGTGCTTATTTTCGATAATTATGGGTATTGTTTAGCTGCATGTGGGAGTTGGTGGAGCACGGCTCATGGGTGGGCGGGGCTGGTAATATGAGACGGGTACATAAAACACGTACTTCTCCACTTTGGAGGCAATTATGATGGAAACATTTGCTTAATGAATCTGATCAAGCCACAGCAAAGGAAACGGGAGAAACGGCAGTGTTAGTATGACCCCCCCCTCTCCCCTCGATATCTCTTTCTTCGTGTACGAGCCTCTTCCTAGCCTGTCTAGTATTATTCGAGCACTGCACAACAGTTGGTTAGGCACTGCAGCTTGGTATGTCCTTGGCTGGCTTCTCCTGAAGAGGCAACATGTCCCACAGCTCTTTGCTGTAGAAGTTCCTAAGCGCGGGGTGAGTTCACTGAGACAAGCTCTGGGTCTCAGAGAGAGAGCGGGCGGGAAATCCCTAGACAAGTCTCTGGCATAGAAATCAAGAAAGCTCTGAAGCAGTTGCCCTTACTCGGTCCCAAAACGTCCCAAGGCGAACGCAGGGATGTTCAAAATTCTTCTCAAAAATTTGTGTCATTAGTCTTCCCACGGAAAACACTTACCTCTGAGATCTCTCGCAACCATTTATGAAGATTTCAGCTCATCGAAGGTGTTGGGAAGCTCAGAATTGAACGTATCCACTGCTGGGACGACATCAGTTCGAGTGGTTGTGGTCGTCGTAGGTGTTGTCGTTGTTGCTTTTGACACCGGTGGTTCGACCTTGTGTATCTTGGCCCCACTGAACAGATCAGACGGACCACTGATCATGCCGGCGTGAACGTTTAAGCCCTGAAATGTTCGATGTCAAGAAGAGGGGAATCGAATCGTGGAACTACGCGATCTTATAAAACTGGCCTACAAGCCAGTCCGCTAATGCCAGAGGTGCTGCCACGCCCTGTGACACAGACACATCTTGGCCAGAAAACAGAGCACATGCACTTCATCATCCGGAAATTGTGTGAGCGTGGCTGCGCACTTCACTGTGCATTGAAGGCACGCTCAGTACATTGTGGCGCCGTTGCGTTTTTTCCGGAATGATTTTCACCTTGAGCAATTGTTACTTGGATTTGTCCATCGCAAGACCTGCAATGCCAGTGTCTTAATGCGGATATACCCCGAAAAGCTTCTACGCTGTCCACGTACACAACCACGCCCGGTCGTCTCCGGAGTTGAATGGAGTGCACACTTTATCACTCAGTGGGCACGATGGCTAGTGGCGGGCGATTGCAGCCAATGTAATTGGTGAAGTTGTGGTTGTGGCCATGGCGCGCTTCTCGACAAATCTTTCACCAGTTAAACATGAGCAGATTAACCGTCAGTTCCCCCCCCCCCTCGCCATCGTGCCCACTGGCTTGAAAACCGAAAAAGAGAAAGAGGGCAAAAGAGGCTTTCTGTCAGCGTTCAGGGAATAGCTCCGCTGCGGGTGAACCAAGCCGTTATGCGAAGATGTTTCGACATTTTGGGAGAAACGCCCCTTCTCCTCCCTCCCCCCCCTCCTCTTTCCTCGTCAACGACGGATCATGGGACGAGGCATATTCCCACAAGCGTACTTGAACTGAGACTCCACTGCACGGTTCGGTAACAGGGCGCAATCAAACGGGGGGGGGGGGGGAAGAGGATTTCAAGAGGGATGTGGTTAGAGCCCACACAGGACGTTTTCCCACTGATTTGCTTTCTTCTTATCGACACTAAATTCATTCACCATGTGGCAGGGCAGCCGGGGCGGGCTCACTCCACCCTTCCTGATACCCCCTCCCCTGACTGCGATGTCATCGACTATACAACGCGCCTTAGATCACATACCTAGGCGATACTTCCTCGTCGGTCTCTGGATGCGCCATTACAGATTCCAGCGTGCTTCCAAGTGGCTTCGACAACGACAGGACCAGCGACGACGAATCGGAGACAGAGGCTGTAGACGTGACAGAGGGGGCATCTGTCGTCGTCGTTGCCGTGGACGTCGTTCGAGCGGCAGATGTCGACACTAAAAATACAGGAAATGGGCTAGATCAATGAAGTAATATGTCGTTTCCATAGAAATAACCTATGCAGTTAACAATTACTCATTAACTGTTCCTAAGAATCAGATTACCCGAAGGAGCGAAAACAAGCTCAATAGGGCGCAGGTGTAGCGCAGATCCGTTACATGTTAAGAGTAAGGCAAGGCGATGACGCGTTATCTAACAAGTTAGTGACAGGCTAGCCTGTATAGTGTCATTGTCAATGACGTCATTAACACGGTAAAATGACGTCAATGACACGTCATTTAACAAGTAACGTAAAGGACCGTGTACCTGTGCTACATCTGCGCCCCCCATATCTGTCAAAAATTGATTCGCTGTGTCGTGCAAAAAGAGCAAAAATGAGTATTGAAAAGAGTTTCTGGAGTAGTGCACCATTACGAATTGCGAGATTTAGAATGCCAGAGGGCTAGATGCCCTTATTTCAACTTCCCAATGGGTGTATTCACTAACGCGCCTCGATTTGCTGACTAGTGGTGCGGTCGTTTCCAAGGCAATGCAAACTGAGGGGAAAAAAACGGAGACGCAAATAAATGGGATTTTTCCACCCAATTTTTTTTTTGCTGGCGCTAAAAAGTTTGCACTGAACGTTTTGCACACTCAAGCGTTGCAGGAATGGGGAGGCAAAGCAAATGAAGCGTCACCAAATTACAGCGCAGTTCGGTGACGGGGAGGGGCATTTTGCACTTCCGCTGGTTGACTGGTTACAAATCTCACCCGGTGAACTGCGCGTGAACTCTGTGGAGCAAAAGCTCGTCGAGCCACCGTGGTGAAACCTGTCAACTCAAGAAAAGGCTCTTTAAAGGGGCCGACACGTCCATGGGAAGTAGCCAAAGTGCAAAATGCCCCCTGTCTCTAGACTACGCCCTCCCAACAAATACACTTCCAAATACTACCGAAAAATGTAAAGGAAAAGGATTTACTGTCTTTGCCTTTGATGCCTCGGGATTGCGTACACGCATTCTTACATCCATTCAGAATCCAGCTTAGCTTACATGAGTCTACAACAAATGACTTAGCAGGTCAGCCAATTGTACAAGCCACGTGTTCTTATCTTCCAGACATATGGTGAATTTTGCCGCGCTGGGGGGTTTATTTTTTTCTCGAACGCATTGGCTGGCCTGAGCGGAAGCTGATCCCGGGTTGAAACCCTGGACCGCGCACAAATAAAATACACTCTTCGGCACTTTCGCTATTTCATTCCGCAGCAAAATCTGTCATTTGCAATCATTCCTGGTGTTCTATTGGATGACTTTGAATCGGCTTCGGATGGATTTCAACAGTAAGGCCCCACCATCAAAAAATGAAAAGGCAAATAAATAATTGGCGGGCATTTTGGCTGTCATTTCCTCAAGAGAGTCAGTTCCCTTTTCTCGAGAGAGGAAGTCGAGACGCCTCGTTGTACACTGAAGATCCTCAGTGAGGGGTGCGGCAATATTTTGTCGCTGTGAGAAGGAGAAATGCCTTTTGTTGTATTTGCCCTTGATAAAAGTTTTTTCGGTTGTTGATTTCGTTCCGCCTTTCCTGGTTCAGGTGCGTCATATTCGCCTCCCTCCGACGACAGCTGTCTTTTTGGTAAGGAAAACTGAGAAAATTCTTGGAAAAGAGATGAGAAGTGGTAGGAACCCAAGAAAAATCAGCAAAATTGAGGTATGCGAAAGGGGTAGGGGGAGGGTAGAACCAGAGGAGGAAATTCTAGGGCAAGGAGTCGTATTCTGCAGGAGTTCCCCATGGCAGGATGTGCCTTGACTGTGCGGGTTAATTACCTGGTCTAGTATGGGGCAGCAGAAAAATGGCTCTGAACCAAGGCCCATTGCCGATAAACACCCCCCCCCCTCCCCCAAGAACCCAATCCACTCAGGGTGGAGACAACCAAACATCATACCTTTGTCGCTGGTGCAACCCCCTTTGACTGTAGATAGTGGGAACGCACCAATGAAGAAGGCACAATGGTATGCTTGACTCCGCCCATACGATTAGTGCGGATTATGCCCTGGCACTCGCTTTCCAGCTCATGAACCCTCACTCGTCAGGTTCAATTATATTCACGGCAATTGGTAGATCTACCCGGTAATGATAATCATCACTAGTCAGTTGCATTAAATTATTGTAATAAATAGTTGTAAAAAACTACGACATTCCAGAATTCACAAATGACCCTATCTTTCATATTACCCTATGAGGCCTACTTGTAAGCCAGTTCCCACTGACTGGAAAGATGAACAAATAGGGCGGCAAGGAATGTAAAAAAAGAATTAAATATTAAGGAGGGTCAGATTACACCAACTGTCCCACGATCCTTAGCAGAAAGGGCTGATTGGAACTTGAACACAGTTTCGAGGGCCTCTTGTCCCACAAGAGAGCGAAAATGACCACAGTAGGGAGGAAGTTTCTATATGGGAATGGATTTCCCTAAGCGCCCATCCATGTGTCTGACTTCCTGCCATTTTGAGTTACTTGACGTCCTTGTTGACGTCATGTAAACCCACGAGCTAATGGTTTCAGTTCAGAAATCGCTCGCTTGTTGGCATGGCCTTCGGAATTCCCCAGGCACCAGCTTAAGCTTTTATGGGTGAGATTGACTCGAGAGAGAGGACGACTGCTGAATGAAGAGATTGCTCAGCTATAGCAAGCCGACGCGATTAAATGAGAAAGATAAACGGAGCAGGCCCTCTATTTATGGAGATGGCTGAGGGCTGTGCAGTTGACAAGACGGAAATGGAACCAATTGGAACGGCGTCTACGAAATCATTCTTACCTGGGGTTGGTACCTGCTGGAATGATTTCTGATCGTAGTAAAGCAAATTCGGCTGCGATTTTTCGGGTGTATAGACCGAGTCGAGCTGTAACGAGTAATAGTAAGGCTCAAATTCTCGGTGATCTACTGAGAATGCTTACCAGAGATTCAATGTCGGCCATGGTCTTGTCTATGGAAGCACTGATAGACGCTGGTATGTCAGACACCGTGTTGAGGACCGGTATCGTGTAGCCGAGTAAGCGTCACTAAAGAGAAGCATTCTAGTAATGTAAGGGAACGCTACGACTTACTCGGAATGCCACAAGTGTAAGAAATCATTGAAAAGTTTTGTATTGGTCAGCATTGCTATATTTATCTGATGAAAAAATTATGCAGTGTTTAGAGTTTGCGATGACGCGCTATGAAGCGCTGTAACGCGCTAGGACGCGCTGCGACGCACTTGGACACACTCTACTGCCACTACCCCTGGCGCGCCGCGCAGGCGCGAGCGCGTTTCAGGTCCAATGCAGTATAGACGGCGAAACGTAACCATGCATCAGTTTGCCGAACGGACGGCGGCCCTAATGCCTTGAGAGTAAGGGAGAATAAGTAGATACGCATTGCCTGGTTTATACTGACACCCCTCCTATCTGCTACACCTCAGAATAGTAGCAGGCGGTCGCGATGAATGGTCGCTTATGGCTGCGTTCCCGTCTACGGCACTGGAGCACTGTTATAAGGGCAGCGCGTTACAGCGCGTCGTTTAGCGCGACGTCGCCGAAGTCTGAACGCCTTCTTCAGTTAGAAAAGGCTTTACCACCCTGCAGTCTCAATTTTTTTCCGGGTCATACCTTGCATTTCAAGGGTTTTACAGGCCCTTACACGAACAGTGCCATCCGCTTGGTGCGCGAAGGCCATTTCGCTGCAATAGCGTGGTGGCGGCAATCGGAAGCGCCACCACTATTCCAGTCTGAAATTGGCCAAAAGAAAAATAAATAAGATCATTTGGTGTCTATTTTCAAAACACGGTGCAATTTGTCGCCGGAAATGTGCCGCGTTTTGCGATAGCGCCTCGATTTCTCCCACCACATTCGCTACAGCTCGCATCAGCGCCGGCACCCAAACAGTGCCTCGGTTAAGCCTAGGTTAAGCCGCGAGAGAGATGTGATCCGTCCCCCCCCCCCCCTCCTTGCCCGCGCCCTCCCACCGTCAATCCTATTAATGCCCCCATGGTTATACTTGCGCTGATGTTTTAAAAAGGTGTAGCGCCCAAGCCAGGCCTCAACACTTATTCGTGACGCAGATAACAGAGTCCGGCGCCGATAGAAGGAGCGCATATCGTAGTTCAGGGACATAAAATAACCCCAGTATGCAAATTTGTATCAATTTTGGTGAAAAAGGTGGTAGCGGTATGTTAGCGCCGAGGGCGCCTGCGCCAACATGGACGTCATATTAGGCGATCAGCAGCTATTGAGACCTCTGTTAGGAAAGGAGTAGATGAAGTTTTCAGCAATTCTCCCCTTATTTGGCGACAGATAGTTGAAGTGGTGTCAAAAAAATCCAAATCGACATCGCAGCGGCGCGCTGTAGTGGGCGATGTCACACGCGCGGCATTCGCACCAAATCAAAATTGATTCAGAGTGGAATGTCATCGCTTCGCGAATGTACCGCCTAGCAGCCACCGATTAATGTAAGGTCTGGTTCGCTGCGGATGAAGGGGCGTGTCCGCTGCGTTTGGCACGCCGCCAAACTCATTCTCCACCAGTTGTTGAAGCGGATAACTGACAACAGTTGGTCAAGTGGAGCTTGCCGAAGGAAAAAAATTGCCCCCCGCCAAACGTACGGACATGCCCCTCATCCGCAACGAACAAGAATAAAGATGAACTAACCTGCTGAGCCCGAAGGAGACAATGGAAGAGGTGAAGCGGTGGAGAATAGATAGGACGACGTGCAGACGGTCGATAGTGCAGCTTGTGTGTGGGAGTGTGAACTGTAAACGTGGCTGTCGACAGTTGATGTCACCGAACGAGCTGCAATTAGTAACGTTAATGTCAAAATCAGAAAGGCTATTTAATTATCATCAGGTTGATACCCGAGCGTCCTCTACCCATTGTACCCACCTACACATCTAGCGGAACGCCCACACCCTCCAGTGCAGCTTGATTAAAACTCTTCCTAACTGAGGAAAAACCAGTTGTGGGCGTGCGGGAGCGGATTTGATGGGTATTCCATTGAATTTGTAACTCTCTTGCGGCTGCATATAATAGCGCTGGAGCAGAAAAAGGGCGAGCGAGTTGCTGGCCAATCTATTTATGACGTGCCTTGCATAAAATTTAGATTCAAGATTGGGCGCAATTCACCTTGGTGGGGGCATCGAATGGTACTCAGTAAAACTAATTCAGGAAACTTGTGAAGACCTGCCAATTCGTGTAACCTGAGTGGCTCAATTATAAAATTTCGTAGCTTTACAGGATACACAAAGGGACTAATTAAAGTCACAGGGCGCACTCAAACGCCCTCCCCCCCCCCCTTTGCCTCAGGTATGAGGTGCAAAATGTGAGGCGCATACCAGGAAGGGGCTGATTAGCGTCGAAAACTTAATCCATTATCTGTTAGATGTGAATAACCTAGAAAAAGCTGTCATGCTATGGATTGGCGAGCCGCCAAAGGGTGAGCGCACTTTGGCTTGGAGAAGAGGTGGGGCATTTTGCAGTTTGGCGACTTCCCAACGTCGCTATCACCCCTAGACGGACAAGTGTTCACAAGAATTGAGCAGGCGTCTGTGCAAAGATTAGTGGCAACACTTCTTGACTTCACATAATTTTATCTTTACTTGGTGGCTCGACACGACGAGATGAAGTGCAAAATGCCCCCCCCCCCTAAGGCTAACTGCGCCGAAGGGTGAATCAGTCATTTGGAATCCAAATCCAGATCCAAAGGACATAAGTCGCCATCTGTTGGAGACGGGGTGTTCGAGGGTACATAGCAGCGCTCAAGAGAGGCCTCTGTGAATAATACTTTATTAATGTGAACAACTTAAATACGAACCAACAATAAGAAATTTTATCGACCTTTCTCAAGGCATCTAGCGTGCATCGCTGCAAAAAGGAGCGTACATCATAGCGATGAAAAGATCTGGTCAGAATCCCTTCCATTTGTACTTATACTACCTCCCCCACTTCCCCTTAGAAATTGGACTATCACCTTACATCCACGTCCTTCACTTCCTCCAATTTTGCAAGTTCTTAGAAAAGTCCCGGAACTAACGAAGCACCCACACTCCAGTGGGAGCGGAATCAAACCTGCCATTCTGGCCAGCGGCCTTCCCTCGTGAAGTCGCTTACCATTGTGCTATTGCTTCTGGGAGAATTCTGTAAATCACGGTTCGCCTCGAATGCCTCCCCCTTGTCCTGTGGTACGACCCCGCTCTCCATCCTACCATCTTTCTAAATTTTCCCGACTTCCTGCAATTTTTTCTGCGATTTTTTCCAACGATTCCTCCAAGTCCTCTCCAAAAAAGCCGGCTCTGAGCGAGATGCATGCATTTCACTTAAAAAAGTAAAAAGCTAGAAAAGTCAAGAACAGAAAATACTTTCCTCATAGGCAAGTAGGGCAGCCTCGGGAAACTGCGGGTCCTCATCGTATGACGTGCCTGATTATGCATTCCTTTCTAGCGCCCCCACTTCTTTTTAGCGTATTAGAACGGAGGGGCAGACTAATGAGGAAGGCCGAATGATAGACCCGGGCGCGTTCAAAGGGCAAGCGCGGACCGTGCCTTCAAGGAAACAACGCTCAGCCCGGCTTTGGAGGGGGAGGATTTTGAACTCCTTCGCTACATAGTTCATGTGAGTTAATAAATTCTGCTGAAGTTATGAAGCGGTATAAATGGGTTAGTTAGGCTACAAGGCTCTATGTGTAGTTCATCACAAGGTGGCCTGTACAAGCTGTGCTGAGAACCTTACCGTGCCCCACGAAGCCAAACAGGGCCGAAAGTAATACCAAAACAGCTCACTATGAATTCCAGATCCGAGGGCGATGATGGCATAAGTGGAAGTGGAAGGCGTCGATGTCGTGGTCGTGGTCACATCAGTCGCAGTCGTCACCGGTTGACTATACAAGCCAATAATCGAATTGGCCACAGAGCGAGCCGCTTGTCGTTTTTTCTCCCGCGCTAAAATATGTACTTGCACTTACGATTAGTGTCGCCAAGGCTAACAAATGATTTCTGGAACTTACCGATCAGTCTGCTTTCGGTGTTGTCAATGGTACCGTCGAGTTCATTAGCATCTTCTGGGATCGTATAAACTGGTCCAGGTCGGTGGCAGAACAACGAGTGGGATTGGTAGAACTGCGCTGCACGGTTCACATCAACCTCCTCCATGTCAATCGACTAAAATGGCGATTCTTACTTTCGAATTTTGGAACTTGGATGGGGGCAGTTCGGCAACGGGAGGGCACTTTGCATTTCGCAGCCTGACTAGTTCCGGTTTACAAGTCTCACCATGGTGAAACCTGTTAACTCGTGTAAAGCTGGAGCAGGCTCGTACAGCCACCACGAAACCTGTAAGCTCTCGTAAAGCAATGTAGACGATAATGAGAAGCAGCGAGAAAGCAAAATGCCCCTCCTACCCCCCCCCCCGTCGACCAACTGTGCTCTTCGATAGTTTATTGCCTAACAACAACCGCTGCACTCACCACATCTTCGTCTTCTGGTGACTCTAGGAAGGGATTCTTTCGCTCCTCGTTCTCAGTGATCTCCAGAGGCGTGTCGTGTTTCTAAACAAGATCCTCTCGAATGAAGAAACAGAGAAAAATCAAAAAAAAGAACTAACCTGGTTTGAGAGAGTGTCAATCTCGTCCATGGAGATTATGGGCACTTCAGTTGATGGTTCAGTGACCTATAACCCCAGGGTTAAGTGCTTTTTTGTTGTGGACGGTGGAGCGATCCACGACACTGGGTCTGGTGCAGCGCCAGCCAGTTTTTCACCAATTATGGTCGCCTGCCAGCTTCCACAATTGGTGGAGACCGGGCTGGCGCTGCGCCAAACCATTTCCCCCAAAACCCCCAGCTTCCGTATGCGATTTGACTATAGGTTCACCAAAAACCTTGAGATGACTCACATCGCGCTTCTGTTGACTCCTCTGTAGTGTGGATTTCGCCCACTGAACGTCAAATCATCGTCGGCTGCTTCACCGAAAGCTTGGATCTGTTGCAACACCTAAAAGAAAGACCTTCAGTCAGCAGGGGTAACCCCAAAGCTTTAGGTGTCAACCAACCTCCTTGCCGTACTGCTCTTGTAGTTGACGTTCCTGCTCAACTTCTTCGTAGGTGGGTGTTGGGGCGATGGGTGCAGCTACGACCTTGTCGGGATACTCGTCGTCGTCTTCGCTTCCACTTTCTTCGTCTTCGCTGTCCATTCGGTCGTCAATAACAGTGACAGTGATCTCCGGTGTAGTCTTTTTCGGTGTTTCGATTCCCATCGGGGTCTGAAATGCGATTTTTGGAGGAGAGAGAGAATAGAAAAAGGCTGGGGTAAAACTTACCCAAGGCACAGAAGTTCGTGAAGGAGTGATAAATTTCGAGGATGGAACGACTCCAGTGTCAAATTCGATCTCTTTGAGAGCATAATCAGCTCCGTCGTCAGCTTCTGAAAAAACTGCATGAGCCAGTGGTTCCTATGAGCCCCAGAACTCAAAAGGATAAAGAATGGTCTACGTGAATGCGCCATGCAGTCGACATTTACTCAGAAACATGGCGACAATTGATTGCGCGTTTCGGGCTGTTTAATGACTTGCTGGTCCGAGCGAAGTGCAAAATTTTTATACCACCGGACGAGTCTGGTAAGTACTCTAGTAGACCCCAGAAGGATGGAATGCTAAGCTGACCAGATTATGCTTGAGCCCTGGGTTTGATCCCAGCACAAAACGCGAAGTAAGGGGCACTATTTGGCACTAGAAGGACTTAGCAGCAGCTCCACACGCTCCGTTTAAGCCTGTGCTCCAAACAGTATAGTAGCAATATTGAGAATCGTACTTTTGATTAATCTTACCTGCACCAGGAAGTTCTGCAGACAAGTGGATGTGCCGCAGAGGCCACGAAACACTCTCGTATTTAGCACAACTCATAATAATGAGTCCCATCCAGCCACTAGAATTTTGACTCCTCGCATTCCGCCTCAGCTAATTGGGATCGAATTTTTTCCGGGAGCAAAAAACACGCTAACGTCAACATGCGTCAGAACCAGGAAGCTACCACATAAGCAAAGTTGTCACGCACATCTTCAGAAAATTCGATGGATGTCCTAGGCATGGCGCGATCCACAAGGCGCTGACACTCCGCTGTGACCTGGACATCAGCAGACGTTGAGGATAAGAAAACACGACGCTGTTCTTCCTCTTGTGCGACCCTTCAAATGTTCTCTGTTCCATGCACGACCCCCCTCCGAATCGCTGCTCCTCTTGTACCATCTCTGCCCCTTCATCACCCAACCCCTCACCCTCCATCATGTCTACCATCCCTTTCAACTTCTTGAAACCTGTTACTTTTTCGTAGTTTTTTTTCTGAAAGTTGTCTTGTTTTCCCAAAAAAACTGCCGGAGCTGAAGGGGTGCATATAGCACTGGGCCGGTTGGGGTATATTCAGCAAAGAACATCGTTGGTTCCAGACTAGGTTTCTCACGAGAACTGCTATTTTCGTCGCAGCTTGCACCACGAAAGGCATGGGCATAAAATTTGACCCTGGCAGGACCGGAACCCCCAGTTCATGCTAACCGGGCTTATAAGTTGGCCTTATTCCCAACATGAATGGAATGAAGCTACAAGTGTAGCACTTTTTCCTTTCATTTTCTCAGCGTTGGCGCGTCACAAATACAAATTACTACCACCTCATCTATTCATCTGACATGGGCTCTATGATTCCTGGAGTCGCCTGCAATCCTAATTAACGCTATTTCCCTCATTACCTAATTGTAATGGCATATTTATAAGAGTTGCGACGGATGCGGCACCCTAATAGTGACCAAATAACGGAATTCCTTCCAGTATTACTGGGCTTGTCCAGGAATAGTCGCTTTGCTTTTAAAAAGTATCTGCAAAAGAAAGAGATATTGGGAGGATCTCCAGCGAGTGAGGCTGGATCTGATCGCTGAAGGGTGAAGGGTAGAAGGTGTTTTTTCGGGGAAAAACTCGGAAATAGTGGTAGGAAGCTAGGAGAATTCAGGAAGATAGTAGGTAGGATGGGGAATAGAGAAGTGAGAAGGTTGTAAGAGAGGTGAAGAGGAGGGAACTCGGCAGAAAAGTTTTATTTGTCGCTTAAATTCTCTAGTGTCAGCCATGCACTTCACTATCGTCAACGATTTCTGCAAGTATTGGGGGCGCGTGAGCCTACTATTGTCTAGAGTCTATGGTGCGGAACGGCTGTCGAACCTAGCTGAAGATCTGCAGAAGGAATTCACTCCCTGATGCGAATCTGGGTAATAACCCAGAAATATGGGATTTCTATTAGTGGGTTGTCCAGAAGTGTGGGATTATGGGATTATAAAGTGCTATCCAACTATTAAAGTGTTAAACTAAACTAAGCGTTTGCTGAGCAGGGGTTCCTGTAGAGGGCACAAATTTCACGAGAAGTTTCTGGAACGACCACTTCTTCAGCTCAGGAATTTAGAGTTATATGCAAAAGTCTTGACCCTTGGTGCGACTCGAACTCTCACCTCACGCTCAGCGGGCGGGTACGCTATACTTTTCACTTCAGTAGATCATTATTTCAAATCACTTTTAGACCAGTTTCTAATATGTCAATAAATGAGCCAATCAATCCTCCTCTCTACTGCCTTCGGGGGAAGGATAGACGAAATCACTTTAGTTATGAGTCCCCGCCCACAAGTTCAGCGTAGACTGCGCCGTTAAGAGACATGATTGCCACAGAAAATTTAAATGATTCCCAGCTAACGTTGAACACTAACCTGTGGGTGATTGCCGAATGAAAACGTCGTCAGCCGGTTGCTCGGACTCATCACCTTCGAAGACCGTCGTCCACATTCGTGGTCGCCCTGCGGTCCAGTCGGATCTCTGCAATTTTTACTCTCAGCACCCACAAGCACTTCGGAAGTCCTGAGATCTTCTACGGGATTTTTGAGTGAAATTATGGAAACGACGGAAAAGTTTGATGAGGTTCAGAGCACAGAAAGGTTCCATGGTGGACGGAAGAGGGAGGATGTGATCTCTTCTTGTCTTCTTTAGGTCCCGAAGATGCAGTTTTTCTTCATGAGCGCTATGGTAATCATGTCCTCCTCCTTACCTTCTCCGTCAAACCCGGGTTACCTCCACAGCTAAACTCTCGTTCTCTGGCTTCTTCGTCCTGGTGCATTTCCTCACTGGTCACTCCGTCCCGCTCTCTTTCGGTCGCCTCCGTCCAGGGGATAAATGGCAGCTGTGGACCGTTAAGGGTAGGAGAACCAATGCTCGATCTCTGAGAGCATGAGTGAATTACCCACCTGCTGTTGTACAAATCGTCTTCGTCCATCTCCACAGCGTCCACGTTCATACTAGAATCGTCATGTAGACTTACCCTGTACCTGCAAATAACTGGTAATCCTTCTGGCGACCAGGAACCGTGCTGAAAGAAACGACCTGTCAGTATCGAAGCTCTCATCGGTCAATGCAGAGAATCGATTGTCTGAATAGGTGAAGTCGAAGTCCTCTTGCACTGTCTCGCTCGAGAATTCGTTCTCCGAGGTGGGCTCCTTCTCTGCCACTTCACCAGCATCTTCCAACTACATCGTAACATTCGCAGTCGAGTTCTGTAAATTCGCCTCGTAAAAAAAGCGAATATGTCTGCGCTCAGGAAAATAGTGTGCTCACCTTTGTGGCGAAATCACCCAGCTCACGATCGTATGACGTCGAGGTGGTACCGTATCCTGACTCTCGTGTAGGAGAGCAAACTTCTGAAGATGACGTCATAGACGTTTGGCGAGGTTTCTTCTCAGCAGTGGGCGCATCCGGCTTGGTGGTGGTGTCTATCTTATCGTACTGAGCTCGTTGTGAGGCTGAAATTGGCCATGCTAAATGAAAACGATGAAAACGAAACTTTCCGCGATGACAAGATGGGCGGAGACTTATAACCATTACGCGTTCCTCATCATGCAATCTTCACTTAACAGTGTTAAGAGGGGCACTGATGAAGAAGTCAGAATAGTAAAGTCTCCGCTCATCAGACTATCAGGGAGGGTGTCTTCAAAACGATAAGCACCTTCTCGTCTTCCCGGATCGTCCATCTGGGCCATCCTCATGACAGCACGAATCTGCTCCCGTTCAGACGGTGAAAGATGTGACAGATCGACGCCAGGGATATCGTCTTCGGGCGATTGTTCACGGCCTTCTTCAGCGATCCTCGGCGGCGTTACTGAATGACAACTCTGTGAATTTTCAGCAGAATCTGGCACGAAACGCTCTGTTAACACGTGACACACATGGTGCGTCACACATTTGTCTTGATGCGATTATCTATTCAATTGATTTGGCTTTACTTTCACGTTCTAATGTTGTCAGATCACGTCTTCGGTTACAAAGGAAGCATATCTCATGAGTGATTGGAGAAGGAGGGAAATTATTGGTGACTTATAAATCAAAAATGGAGAAATAACCCGGAAGCATGACGGTCCGCAGTGTTTTTTTCAGGATATCGCCACCATAGGATTGCCGCGTAGCCCCACCCACTTTTTTTTTACTCGCGATTCTTTTTATATTTTACTCACGGTTTTTCTACTCTCAGTTTGTGCCATATAGCCAGCCGAGCACTAATGTGCAATGTCAGAGCCAGCCCGCCCCAGACGAATATGCCCCTTTATTGAACAGCTTTTCCTATTTCTTATGGCCCCCTCACATTTTTCATGTATACCGTTCCATCAAAAGCCACAGCACGTTTGAATCTGCCCCTCTGACAGACAACTCCACCCAGTGGGGGATCGCTCCGCCCACATGAAAAATCGTCACTGTTTACAGCAGGCTCCACCCTTAGCGTGTTTCTGAATAAACCGAACGTTCGTGCAAATTTGACAGGTAAGATCAGCAGCGGATTCCCGCTGGTTTCCAGTCACGTACCACGTACCCTGTGAAGGGTGCGCGGGTCACAGGGCGTGGTATGAAGCGCAGCCAGGGCTGCGTTCCTTACCAATGATGCTATGCTAGGCCCGTTTTGATTTGTTGGGAAGGGTGTCCCGGCTGCACTTTAACCCCCACCCGGTCACAGGTCATA